GAGAAAATGCAATCCTTCTGCAGTCTTTGTAACAGTCTGTTGTTCTTTTACCCCTATGGCCTCTTTAATTACTGTATCTCTACCTTTAGAATTTATTCAAGTTCACTGAATTAGTAAAAGCTTTTGAGAACAGGCAATGTCAGATACTTTGCACTTGTATCCTTACCTACTACCTGCACATTCCCACGCTGAACTATTGCTCTGCCTATCGCAGTCTATGTTGCTTCTCACACTGGACAAGGATTAATTTGTTCCAATTGTTAGACAAAAAATAAAACGTGTCATTGTCTTCTCTATAGTGCTGTTTTGCCATGCATCAAAATTATGCATGTGCAGATCATAATCCCCACAGTAATAAGCGTTATAAATAATAACTGTTATACTCTATCCTGACATGCTGCACTCCCTCAGCCCAAATGGAATTGCAGCCTAAACCCCCTGATGGGGCTATTGAAGCTGTACAAACCTGTACTGTGCCTTTTTGTGTGCAGTTGTTGCAATACAATCAATGTGGTCAGAACCCAGTCATATTCAGCATTAGCTTCGTCACTGTTTTTACTGCCTTGAAAGTAATAGGAAATATTTGTATTTCCTTTCTATTTACATAATTATTTTAAGTCTATATTACTAGTCTGCCTAATGTGCCATGCTTGTTGAGATGAGAACTGCTGGCACAGCTTGGATGTCCAAGTTTCAAACTCTTCCACTTCTTGCTTGCACAGTCCAGCTTTATATATTTATATATAACCACAGCTGGGAAAGATGTGCAGTGTCAGCACCAATTACTGGATCTAACCTCAGTCCACTATCAAAAGTACTACTTTCCAAGGATATGTCTCTTCCTCTCCCTGTTCCCAGTGGCTCTGGAGGCACAGGAGAAGAACTGCTTTACATGTGGGCTGGTAAGCGTGAAGGAGAGTGGGGCCAAAAAGGGCCAAATCTGGCCTCAATCCAATCCAAGACATACCTGGCCTGTCCTAGTCTCCTTCTGTTCCCTTGATATTGTGCAGGCTCCACGATGTCCCCATTCCCTTCCAGTCTTCTTTTATTGACACCACTTCTCTCGCAGTTGAGTGAACTTTGTTTGCAACTCTGGGCCAGGAGTCTCTATTCACATCTCAATTCTTTGTCTTGTTAAAATAACACCTGTCACCTGGAAAATATTCTCTGGTTCTTCCTCCAGGCTTCTGTTTCTCCAAGAAATGCATTCCTTTTTGAGGCATGCCCTTGATCTGATCCGGGTTATTCTTTTCCCAGATGTTGCTGTTTTTTTCTTTTAATGTATAGTCCACAGGTTTCTCTAGAAGGAGAAACACTGAAGAATCAGTGTTCAGAAAGCCCACATCTTGAACATAGGTATCTTTCAGCACAGGCTGATTTTTGCTGCTGCTTGTCAGATTTTCCTTGCTTAGTCTGTGTTTGAGCTAGGCTGTATCTATGTTGACCTTGTCGACACCAGTGGAAGAACCCAGGTGCTCTGAGCCTATCAATCTGAGCTAGCTCTCACCACACTGTAAAACATCTCACTCTCATGTTCTCTAGGGTAGATGTGGTATTTCTATGACTTTGAGGTATAATTGTTTTTTCCGTGTTTTTTTTTTCTTTCTTGTTTGTTTATCTGCTTCCTTCGTTCAACCTGCATCTCTCCTGTTCCTTCTGCCTTTGTTTTTTTATCCTACTTTATCTGCTCCCTGCTCCCTCTTTTTTTTTTTTTTTTTACTTGAAATAATGACAGAGATGTGTTGTAGACCTTTCATGATATTTTCAGGCCATGATCACAGGAGCTATGTTATGTACATTAAGGGCATTTCCAGATACATTGCTGACTGGGATAATATTGCTGTCCTCCTGACTTCACCATAAATCTCTGTTGTCCATCTGGTATACTCAAGTATATTAACCTATCATCTGGGTCTGTTTCCCAAGATAGAAACTGGTTGTGTGCTTTAAGGTAAATCTAGAACCAAAGTGTTTTGTGTATGATGTGAATGAGCAGGGGAATAAATTTATGGAGATGGAGACATAATTACTTGCACTTTTGAAAGAGATGCTCTAGGCTTAGTTCAGTAGCACAGTGCTGTCTTGCTTCTTGTGCCCCTTTATGAAAACATCCCTTGCAGGTATTTCATTATTGCATGAAATCAAATTATGCAGTTTGCTAATGGTGTGTGCCTCATTCCAACTCCTTTAGCTGATATAAGTTAGAAGCATTTAAACTGTTTCAATGCCAACCACTGTTAAAATCCATTGAAATAAATTTAGAAGGGAAGGGAAGGGAAGGGAAGGGAAGGGAAGGGAAGGGAAGGGAAGGGACAAATAGGATTGTTGGAAACAATCTTAGAAGATCATCTAGTCCAACTGCTTTGACACTTCGGGGCTAATCAAACGTTGAAGTATATTACTGAGGGCATTATCCAAATGCCTCTGGAATGCTGGCAGGTATAAAGCATAAACCACCTCCCAGAGAAGCCTATTCCATTGTTTGACCACCTTCATGGCACAGAAATATTTCCTAAGATCCAGTCTGAACCTCCCCTGGTGCAGCTTTGTCCCATTCTCTTGTGTTTTATCACTGATGACCAGGGAGTCCAGCACTTCTCCATTTCACCTCCTCAAGAATCTGTGGAGATCAGTGAGGTTGCATCTTAGCCTAATTTTTTCCAAAATAGAGAACAAAATATCCTCAGCCTCTCCTCACAGGACGTGCCTTTCAGCCCTTTTACCAGGACCTTTTACCCTTCCAGATACCTTAATATCCTTTCTATATTGTGTAGCCCAGAATGAGTAAGTAAGGTCTCAAAATAGAGTAGTCAGTGATTGCAAGCAGAAGATAGGCAAAGCTCTGGGAAGAACAAAACATCAAGGAGTTAAGATATGAAACATAAGTGAACTAGAGACACAGGTACAGGCTTTACACTGGTCTCTGCTGGAGAGGCTGAGTGTTTTTGCAGTGTACAGAGGCATCCATTTTGGTGTTTGCAAGCTGCTTGTGGTTTGACCTACCACAAACACATGCATATGAACAGATCTGACCAAGTTGCCTATTTATGTCAAATGTGCTTGAGGCAATTAAATTAGCTCTTTCAAGACAGTGGCATAGGTTGGCATGTCTTATTGATGTCAGCTGAAACACTGTTGAAACTTCTTTTCTTTTTTTAATGGAAAAAAAGAATGATGTCAATACTGGAGGCAAAATGCTGGATCCAAACCCAGTAGAGGAATTAGGACATCAGCTGTGAGGCAGTGAATTCTTTTGCGATGCAGCTTGAAATCCCAAGACAGGTTAAAACTCTTAAGACTGGGCTCTTGGCAAGGTATGGTCCAAAGGCAGGCTTCTCATTAACTCTAAGAAGCTGTGCATGCTGACAGTTAAGGCAGACATGGGTACGATAATTCAGAAACAGTTTGCATAATAAGGCTTTCTTTCTTCTCCTGCCTTTTTTCTCTTCCAAATAAGCTGCTAGCTTCTCCTCTTGAAATACTGACCCTGACCACAGCAAGTGAGTGGTGAATCTTTTTGACTAACTCTTCCTAACAAATAAAAATTATTTGTGACCTTGTTTACAGCTGCCTATGTGAAGCCACTTGGAATTTATTTTGCCTCTTGACACAATGCCTTCAGTGTTGGGATATCTCCCATTTGTTACTGAAGGTGTGTTAAAACACTTGTCCTCTCCAGTAGCCGCAATGAACCTATAGCACAACCATGGGTAACAAACAACGAATACAAAAGACTGAGAGGAAGGGAGGGCAAGTTGTGTTTTTCTCTATGAGGTTGAATGGACCTCAGCCAAGCTTTCCACAGGGCCTTTATTTACAGAAGATCTCAGACAAGAATGAATTAACAGGAACATGGGAAGGTTGTAGCCTTCCTTTTCTAATGAGTCATAGATTTTTGATCTCACATAAATCCATTCTAAGTGGTGGCAAGTGCACATAGATGTCAGCTGGCAGCGTGTAACGCATCTGAAGGTTATCTCTTATTTTTCTACACATAAGAGGCTCTTGAAAACTGTACCCTGCTGTCTCATGGAAAGATGATATGTAGAAGTCTGGGCCATTTCTCTTTCCTGCTCGAAGTCTGCGGTGAGTACAGCAAGAGCTAGGAGTGCTAAGGACATAGAGTGCACAGAAGGGTGTTCCTCAATAGCTTCAGTCCTGATACAGGAGGCAAGACACATCAAGCCATATCTGATTAGATTTTTACCTTGATCCATGTATTCACCAGTTCTTTTGGCTCTGATGTGGTGCTCTCCCGTAGCCTTCTCTTTTTTTTTTTTCTTTTCCCCCACACATTACTTTTGTCAGAAATCTACTACATACAGCAAGAATGTCGGTGTACATGGTAACCAAATACAACTAACTCAGGGGGAAGTGAGAGGAACACAGCCTTCTGAGAATATGTGGAATTGATGGGGAAAGAAAGAGCATCTCTTTGCCTCTAGTGACAGCTCTTCCAACGGCAGAAGTACTGCTGAGCTTCAGACAGGACTTCTTTTCTCCTCAGTTCACAGCTTTTTGGTGGAAGAAAGGAGTAAGACTTACAGTGGGTAGTGAGGGAGGGAAAAAAAGAAAAAAAAGCCCTTCTCCTTCAACCAACCTCTAGAATGTTCATTCATACATACTCTGCTGCAGAATTAACACAGAAAGAATCTTTCCTTTCAAATAAAACCATTTCCTGAATCAGAGGGGTTTTCTGAATCAGGATCTTCCTTTTTTTCTCCATTCACATAGGAACATCTCAGACAAAATGCTGCAGTACTGTCTCTGTGAATGTCAGTCCCCCCAGACACAAATGTGGGCTCACACATTCCCTCCAAACCTGCTGGGATGGAAGTACATTCATGGATTTGCATTTCAGAAGTAGTCAGGGAGCTTCTGTAAGGCCAGATCAGTTTGCACACAGTTTCCCTCACTGATGCAAGCTCATGCAATGTGGTCGGAGGGATGAGGCGGAGCAACAAGGCAGCCCGTCCCCCTCATGCTGCTGCGATTTTGGTCTCTAGCTCCAATTTGTTTCAGTTCTGTGAAGCATCTGAACAAGCAGAAGGCAAGGAGAAACACAGCCCCTGTGGAAAATACATTAGGACTTTCAGGATGGACTTTTGTCCTGCTGGTAAGACTTCACCATCTTTTGTTTTGTTTTCTGTGGGGGCTGTGCACAGCCTGAAATCCCAGTAGTTGGAGTGGATGCTGCAGCTAGTGTCAGGAGGAAGGAGATGGTGGAAGATCCCTGGTGGTATACAGCTAATTGCTTGTCAGCCTTGACCTGTATAATTTTACTTGCTCTCCTATAAGCCAACTCCATTCACATCAGGAGAAATTCTCCCACTGAAAATGGTCTTTGTACGGAGAATGTCTATTGCTGTGGTCCCTTGTGCCCTTGTGATCATGACCTGAGCTGCAGAAACGGCACAGGGATATTAAGAGTTACATGTGGCACTTGGTTGAGTACCTATAATTTTTGTCTTCCCTTCATGCAGCCCTGGCACAGCTCACAAGCTCCTCAGTGGTGGTTCCCTGTGGCCTGCAGGAGACAGTTTGCAGAACTTTTCATGCAGTTGGGTGTCCCAGTGCAAGCAGCTTGCTAAGCTTTTGGCATTAGAAGCCTCTCTTGCATATACACTTGTTGAAGGTGATTATAGGTGATTATACTAGGGTTCCACCACCTCCAGGTGGGCCTGCAGGGTCCCAAAATAATCTTTAGGGCAGCTGCAGATGGGGAAGATAAGTCACATCTGAAGAACTGAGAGAGATCTTGGGTTTTATTTTCCTAGTTTGGCAGATGGTGGATAAAGTGGTTGGTCTCCTGCAGAGAAATGGAGGCTTCTGGACAGAACTTTTTCAGCATCCTGGCTGGGGAAGCTTGATGTGTCTTTAAGTCTGAGCAAATGCAGAGGACAGAGGAAGAGGATAGAATTTGGGCTCAATAAGCACCAGGGAGAAAAGGGATGATCTCGCAATGACTGTGCTGTGACTCATCTGTCCTGGCCAGCTCTTGTGTATACGATGTAGAAAAGAGAGAGCTCCTAGATGGGTAAACAAGGAAAGAGCATGAAAAAACAGCATACCAGGCTTGCTTGCCAAGGAAATTGCTAGGACCTGTGGGAGCAGAGCTTTTGTGGGCATCTGGCTATGCGCATTGGTGGAGGCGGTTCTCTTGAGAGCAGCTGGCCCTCACTACCTGAAAGAAATGATGGACCAAGTTACTGCAGGACCAACTGGGCAGGAGGAGGCAGAATACTTCATACAGATGGTCTTTCACTCAAGCTATGCATTAACAAGCTATTTAAAATTTACACACTGTGGTAGTGCAATGGGATCTTGCTGAGGAACGATGTGAATTTGCTCAGCTTTGGCTAATGAACAGCAGAAACTCCACATCCAGGGTTAGGTTGCGGTTGGACCTGATGATCTTGAAGGTCTTTTCCAACTTGAGCAATTCTATGATTCTATGATTCAGAGCCCTGCATTGCCTTGCAAATGGGCCTGTGCTGTCATACCATGTGTGGGTAGCATGTAGATTGGTCGGTATCCATTCTACAGACACTGCCATCCGTGACAATCTTCCTCTGCTATTTCTGCAGCCCATCCTTCAGCTCTTCTATGTACTCACATTCCACTCCACATGCTATATGCTCATGCATATATTTTCACCTGGGATTGAAGGTCTCACTTAGCATGTGGGCAGTTCTGGACAGCTTGTGTCAATGCGAAAGGAACTCAGCACCACAGTACTCTTTGCTGGCTACATGAGCACTCAGACTTTGGGGTAACTCCGTCCTGCCCTCCAGCTGGGGATGCTGAGGGCATCAGTCACTACAGCTGAAATTGAAGTCTGTGTTTTGTTTTGAGAGGCAGCACTAAAAATACAAGGCTGGGCAATTGAGGAATGGTCAGGTCTTTGTATCTGAGAATGCTCTGAGACTGGAAAAGCAACCTAAAGAGCAGGTGAGAGTCCCGCGTGTGCTATGCTCATGTGCTATCCTTTCAACATCTGCTCTCTGAAAATAAATTCCAAGCAGCAACTTCAAGTCCTTTCTGTAGAGGATGCCAGCTGATATCGACATAGTGAGCTGTGCATGGGCCAGCAGAGTTTGGTTTGGGTGATAACATTCTCCTGAAAGCTGTGGGTGTTTTTATTCGCACCTGTGGGTACTCTTCATCAGTGTGAAATTTCCCTTGTGCAGAGAACCCTGAAAAGGGCTACGCTTCATCTGTGCCTGATCTAGTCCTAGAAAGAAGTGGATCTTACTGGTACTAAGGACTTTAGGATGACACTGAAGCCATTCCTCAGTGTTCTGGTGCAGGGCTGAATTCCCTCTGCTTTGCACAGTTTGGGAGTGAGCAAACTGTTTTGCTCAGAACCTCCCTCTCCACTTGGTGTGGCTCATTTTGAAAGTGGAGAAGGAAGGAGAGGCAAAGCAGTCTGCTCCTGTTCTCTGCTTCTCGCCCAGCTGCCTCTGCAGTTTTCTGTGCCTTGCTGTGGACAGTTCCCCAAACGAGCTTTTTGCATTCACTTCCCCTAATTATAGACCCCGACGCATGCAGTAATCTTGATGAAGAGCCTCAAAATAACCTTGAGCGGTGTTAGGCCTCCTGTTAGGGAGCAGAGTAGCATACAGGAACTGGCCTCAGAATTATTTTCTGAAGAAATTAGACTTAGTTTAGGAAACTTAGAAAACCTTACAAGGACCTTTTCTGCACTTTAGTCTAAATTGCCTTGAAATTTTTCTCCATGTGTTATTTTCCTTTCTATTTTGCCCTTTCCTGTTTATCCATGACTTGATTCCCTCCCCTTCTCCATGACTCACATGCATTTTCTCCCCCGACGTAGTCTTTCCCACATGTTTCTCACTCTAACACACCGGGCAGGTGAATCACTTGGGACATGAGATTTTCAGATGTTCAGGAGGAAGGGACATAGAGTTATTTACAGTGTCTGTGGGGGTCGTGTGGGTGAGATGATGCCCTCTGGGAGCCTCAGGTCTCTTTGAGATGCGTTAGGCTGCTTCAGTAGATGTGGAACAACTGAAGCAAAGCAACCAGACACCGCAGTCTTTGCGCGTGGGGTGGGGGAAAGGGAGGTTCCTCAGGTAAGTCCTGCTGCAGTAATACAGCACAAAGGGTCTGAATGAGAATTTGCCAAATAATCACCCCAGTGATTCCATAATTATCAGGCCCTGCAGAGGTGAAGGAGATAAAGCTGGAGAGGCTGAATCTGGCATCATCTCCTGCAGGCTCAAGAGCTGTGGGAGGCAGCTGAAAGCCCAAGCTCTGCTCGCAGGCAGGGCTGACATTCAAGGGGAAGTCAGCAGCCTGCCTAACAAGCAGCAAAGCCACTGGATGGGGGATTAGGTTTTTTACCCTCTCACATTCAGGTTTGTTTGTCTCAAGCTGCTGGGTTCCACAGGTTTTCCTGCCCTCTTGACTGGCCTCAGCGATAGTCAACTTCTTTCAGCTCCTCATGAGGGCTCTTTGCAGATCTGGGAGGGGAAATAGGCAGTTCCCATTCCTGTCTTCGTGCTGGCTGCTGGCCCAGTGCTTTCCCCTCAGAGGTGCAGTGGCCTCTCCCCATGGCTGCAGGACAGATGGGGCAGAGCCTTGTGTGACAGCACATGGAAACCCAGACAGACAAAGGGATGGGAGGATGTCCATGCTTGGGGAAGGCAGGTTTATCTGAGCCATTGTGGACATGGCAGGAAAGAACCATACGGACTCCAAGATGACTTTGTCCTCTTTTCCTTTTCTCTGTCTTGTCTTGTTCCTTCCCCTTTTTCCCCACTCATATTTATAGCATTTGTTTTTCATGTGAGTGCCACATTATGACAATTTCCAAGACACTTGGTGCCACTTCCTCTTTTTCCAGGAAGATGAGAGGCCCAGGGGATTTTGGCTTATGAAGCAGCAGGGCAGGGTGTTCCAATAACCTAATGTGACTTCCTGGGAAAGCTTTATTTCTCTGTGTGTAGGATCCTCACTGCAAGTTGTGCACTGAGCTCCCAGCAGCATCACTGCCCTCAGTCTGTGTGTGTCCCCTATATTTTCCTGGGGCTTACCATCTGCTGTGCCTCTCTGTGGCTTCAGCCTCCTCGTTCTCTTTGCTGAAGAGGCTCTGTTTCATCACGATTATATTTAGCAGCAGTGCTGTCACCCCAATTCTTCTAGGCCTTTTATGAATCATGTTGTGGTCTCTTAGGCTCTGTTATCTGTTTGACTTCCTGTGCATTACAAGGAAGCCTGTTCGCATTTCTATATTGTCTGTAATCCACAGGGGGGAGGAGGGCAGAATAACAGCCTCCCACAGATGCTTCTTCTTCAGCAAGGCTTTCATCCCCTAGAACCTGTCCTCAGACTTGAAAGTCCTTGATTCTCTTTCTTGAGCCGTTTTTGACTCTAACTGTGGTGGGTCAATCAATGAAGCTAGTGTTTCTTCATGGGAGGTTTGGATGTAGATGGACTATTTAGGTCACAGCTTTCTTGTGCAAGAGGTCTTGTACATTGAGGTGACTGACACAAAAACCACCAAAGAACATTTGGTAAAGGCTCTTTGTTGCGCTTGCAGTGAGTAAACCGGGTTGTGTAGGCAGGTGGGTTGCTACAAGGTTAGATCAGAAGGCTGCTAGCAGAGAAGCTGGCTGTGAGGCAGGGTATAGGGGGCTGCTGCTGGCTCTGGACTGAGAATCATTTGCAAGACAGAGCTCGGGTTCAGTGGTTACAACAGCAGGGAGCATAGATGCAGGAGCACAGATATCAAAGCTGCTGAGGCACTGAGAGATTGAGGCAGCTTTTCCTGTGATATGTTGGCATCAACTATTCTCATAGGCACCTGTTTGCTCTTCCAGGGTCATCTGACCTGAGTGAGGCTGAAGAGGCTGAAATAGAGACAATAAGGCAGCACAGAGAGGAGCTCTTGGAGGACATTAAGGTAAGAACTATCCTGTTCCTTCCATCGTGCCTAGCCTTCTCAGAGCTGTCTTCACCAAGGAATCTCTGCACATAACAGTCCTGGCCATGCAGAAGTGCTTCTGCACAGGGCATATTTGCTCTGTCATGATCCAACTTGAATTCTAAGCTTCAGTCTGCCCTGACATACTTGTCACCAGCACTCATCCAACCTGTGATACTCTCTGCTGCGGGATTCATCAAGCAACATAATGGGATATTTGAGAAAGGGTTGGCAGTTCATTAACAGGGATTGCATATTTAGGGTAAAGGAAAGAAATATGACTTTACTAAGTCATACAGTCAAGGATTTGACTCAGCATTTACGGCTATTTTGAATTATCAGTCACCTTACCAGTTCTCTGATGCATCCCTCTGTGATTTTTAAATTTTTTGTTCTTTGTGTGGACCTTGCCAAGTCACTTTTGAAAGGTGTGATGGAAGGGCCTTCAACACAAACCTCCATAGCTGAATTTGCTTTTCTTCTTTTCCTTTAGCGGACTCAAACACTACTTCATTGACTCCTGAAGAGCCTGAAAATGACAAACTGAAAATCAGTTAGTAATACCACATCATATCCACGTCATGCATGGTGGTGGACAGCTTTTTCTCTTCTACACTATCATCTTGCACTGATTTTTCCACAACATGAGGAGATCCAGACTCCTAGGGAATGACTGAAGTTTTTCTTCATATAAAGAATTAAACCAAATTATCTGTGACTTCTCACACTTGCAGACTTAGCATCCCTGCTGCAAAAACAGAAAGGCATCATGTATCTTCTTCAAGAGTCTATGGATGCACGTGCATGTCGTTTGCTTGTGCAGTTTTCATCATTTTAGTTTTCAGGATGGGCAATGGGCACTGTGGGACACAGGATATTTGAACACAAATCCTACATTTTTTTTAACCTACTCTCGGCACAAGAAGAGGTACTAGACTACATTGACACTCATCTAAAACCCACAGCCATTAACTAATAGGGTTGTCCAGTGGAGCAGAATGAATTAAGGTGAAAGTGCAGCTAGAAATAGAACTTTTTTTTACCAGGTGGATTTCTTCATTAACTATTTAGCAATACTCTTTATCAAACAGACTTGAAGGGTGGTGCTGTCTGGGAGAGAGAGAAGGAATGAGGGTGAATTTCATCTTACTGTTATAGAGAGAAACACAACAAAAAAACACAATCATTTGAAATTCAGGAGATACGATCACAGCTTTGTGACATTTGTGCAATACCTGAAGCTTATTAAGGAACGCTTTCAACTCTGGCAGACTGATGAAACAAAATGGAATGAAAGTAAAAGCAGAACTTTGAAGTTGTGGGATGTTGGAGAACTTCACAGTTTCTGTACCAAGATTCATATCATAGCTGCATCCTCACTCCTAGCTGAGGCTAGATTAGTCACATAGCCCTTCTTTCCATGCCTATTCAGTTTGTTAAAGAAATAAATCAAGAGATTCCAGGAAGAGGCATGTAAAGAAGCACTCTTGCTCTGAAGGGAACCCAAAATGCAGAAGGAAAACAAGGAGATGCACAGATCTTGGTTTCCTTGGAAACACAGAACATCCAGCCAAGAAGGCTACCATTTCTTATGGATCTAAAGGAAACATTTGGATCTTAAATATTTTTTTGTCCTTCTCTCTTCTTTCTCCATCTAAAGACAAATATCCACTCACTGGTATTGAGTGACAGGAGCATTAGAAAGTATATTTCTCAACTTGGCCACTTCAGATCCACATTGACCTCCCAGTTACTGGTTCCATTTCCTCTGTCCTGGATGTGTAGCCGGGCTGTGCAAAGCAAAATCTAGAAGAAAATATGTGCAGTGGAGGGAGTGTCATATCTGACATTGTTTGAAGAACTAAAATCAATACTGGGATGAGTTCTCTGACTCTTTCAAGCTGACTGAGCTTGATTTTCCAGCCCTCAATGACAACAGACACAAGAATATCCTCTGCCCTTCTCTCCCATTTCTTTCAGCTGAATTCCAGCTTGGATGGGCAAGGTCACCTTAGAGCGATGCATATTTCACAGAAATCCTCGACTAGTTCTGAACAGCTGGCCTTTTCCTATGATGGAGGGATGAAAGAAGACAGGATTTGTACATCTGCTGTTTTTCCCTTCTCTGCCTTCACCCTCTTGATATTTCTTTTGCAGAAGCTGAAAGAAGAGATTGCGCAAGTGTTTGCAGAGATCGAGGGCTTCCAAAACGCAGAGGAGAGGCAAGAGGCAGACCAGAACCCTGGTGAGAGGACCAGGTAAGTGAGGCTAGTAAGTATTCCTTTGTTTCCAAAGCCTCCCTTAGTGTTGGGAAAACAGGAGCACTAATGGAATTTGTATCACAACAAAGGCAGGAAAATGAGGCCTGGAATGTCCTTCTGTCTCCTGAGATTTCTCCCTGAACAGACGCCCTCCCTTGATATCTGAGTTGCCTTGTGAGCGTTCTAAGTGAAGCATGGCCCTGTATTCTAAGTTTGGCTTTTCTTCTTTTTGTTTGTAGCAAACTATCACAGAGGGATAAACTTCTGTCCGTGGGTCGGAAGAAATTCAACATGGATCCTGAAAAGGTAGGATCTGATCATTCCAAATTTGAGGATAAAGCTGTGAGGAAGTGTTTCTGTTGAGTACTGGTCCCATCCGTGCCAAGGGAGCTATTTCCATGGACTGTGAGGCTAGTTTCCTACCTTACTAAGGCTCTAGTCAGAAGACTAGACCTTCTTACCTATTTCTGAAATATTCTGATAAGATCAATCTGTATTGCCTCCCCACATCATGTGTCCATAGGGGCCTATAGAGAATTTCATTAGGTACAAACCAAAACTAAGAGAAATAAAAGGCGGACAGCTTAACACTGTCAGTGTGTCAAGAGAGCTAAGCTTTCTTCAGTCCACCTCTTCTTGCTTGTGTGACGGTCAGAATTCATAGAATCATAGCATCATTAAGGCTGGAAAAGACCTCTAAGATGGTCTAGTCCAGCCATCCCCCTATCACTAATATTACCCACTAAACCATGTCCTTAAGTACCATATCTACTCTTTTCCTAAACAACCCTAGGGACAGTGACTCCACCACCTCCCTCCCTGGGCAGCCTATTCCAGCTGCAGAACCACTCTTGAGAAGAAATTCCTCTTAATATCCAACCTGAATCTCCCCTGGCACAAACTGAGGCCATTACTTCTCATTGTATCCCTATTATGAGGAAGAAAACGCTGATCTCCACCTTGCCACAACCTCCTTCCAGGTCATTGTAGAGAGTTATAAGATTTCCCTTGAGCCTCCTCTTCTCCAGACTGAACATCCCCAGTTCCTCAAGCCACTCCCCATCAGACTTGTGCTCCAGACTCCTCACAGCTCTGCTGCCCTTCTCTGGGCACACTCCAGGGTCTCCATGTCTTTCTTTAGTCAGGGGCCCAGAACTGAGCACAGAACTCAAGGTGCAGCCTCACCAGAGCTGAGTACAGAGGGACGGTCACCTTCCTGCTCCTGCTGGCTGCACTACTTCTGATACAAGCCAGGATGCTGTTGGCCTTCTTGGCCACCTGGGCACACTGCTGGCTCATGTTTGACCATCTGTTGATTAATACCCTCAGATCCTTTTCCACCACTCAGCTTGGTCTTGTGGAAGCTCCTACAGTTGGTCTCAGCTCATCAATCTGGACTATTGAGATCCCTCTGAAGGGCCATCCTACCCTCGGGCAGATCAACACTTCTGCCCAACTCAGTGTCATCTGCAAATTTACTCAATCCTCTCATCCAGATTGTCAGTTAAGATATTAAATAGGACAGGCCCCAGTACCGACCTTTGGGGAACACCACTACTGACCAATCACCAGCTGGATTCAACTCCATTCACCACCACTTTCTGGGCTCAGCCATCCATTCGGGTTTTTACCCAGTGAAGATTACACCTGTCCAAGCCACAGGCTGCCAGCTGCTTTTAAGGAAAAACCACAGTCTGCATTGAACAATTGTTCATTGTAGGCTAACTGCAGCTATCATCTTGGATTGCTGCTGGTCTGAGTGACAGCTTTAAATGCCTCCCTGCTGAGACCATGAAGACGTCTTCCCCAGTGTCTACACTGCATCTGATGTGCATGCCAGCCTCTGGACATCCCTCTGCCAGTGGGAGCTGTCTTTGAGCACTGATAACAGTACACACAGATCATGTGAGAGCGGATTCTCTTTTTGTCTTTCTGTCTGACCTTGGTTTGAGGCCCCAGAGGCATCTCTTGCTATGGCACTTTGCCATGACATGCAGAAATGCCTGAACTAATCCTGACCCCAAACCGTTTTAGCATTATTAGTTCAATGCTGATCAGCCTGGTCAAACTGCTGTACTATGTTCCTGTATTGATTTTAGTTTAGAACAGGCACACACAGATCTTTGTTTATTGCTTCCCTTTTGGTATAAACTGGAGTCTTGTAGGTCTTGCAATGCAGGGAACTTTCTTTGTCCCTGCTGAGGTTATGTTTCATCTAGGCAATGTTGATGAAATGAGTTCCCATCTCCAAGCGCTCAGGGTAAATTCCTGAGGCTACGGGAGGTAAACACTAGAAATACAGCTGAACAAAATCTTCTGGGAGAAACATTCTAGTCTGAGAAATGGAGCTCCACCATCACTGCAATAATTTGCAAAATTAAATTGATCTAACTGAAATTTCATCTGGGGAAAAAGGAAGGAAAATAGCGTGGAGAAATCTCTCAAACATTTCAATTTCTTCCTTTGGAACTGATTTTTCTTTGGGGCATTTTAGAAATATTTTCTTATATATTGCAAGACAAAGTGAACTGATTCTGTTGAAGCAGAACATTTTGATATTTCTAAAACAATATTCATTCCTTTACTGTATTTTGTGAGGAGAATTGCAGTGTGGTCTGAAGAATTGCAGTGTTTCTAGATAGTGCTCTTAAGCTGAACAACAGCTCAAATTTCAATGACTTTGGAAATGATGGAATTCTCTCTAAAAATAAAATATTGGCTGTTTGCACAACCTGATTCTGACTCTCTATCTTCCTTAAAGAACACACTCCATCCTTGTTGGCTTGGGAGAATGGAGTTTACCAGATTGCTGACTTTTCTGTTCTGTGGCCTGCAAAAAACTTCAGGAAAACAACACAGTCTCAGGCCTACGTTTTTGCCTGAATACTTTTTTCAATAACGTCTGCTTATTTATTTTCAAACAGTTTTTTTTCTTTAAGTTTCTTTGGTTAAACCTGACTTTCAGGAGCAGAACTCTACAATATTTTGACCAAGAATGTTAAAAAGAGCCCTTTTGACTTTACTTTAAATATACATGGCTGTTTGAACTTTTGAGCTACACTGCCCTTTTCTGTTTGCTTGAATTTCCAGTTCAGTGAAACATTTGTCCAAGTTTAGGGATGAAATGAGCATGATACCAGTCCATCACAGTAGATAAAAATGGTGGGAATAAGAAGGAGAACATGACTATGATCTCCCATGGAGGGGTTGAGGAATAACAGGAGACAATGCTAACAAAGCCAGTTAAGTCTGACATTAGAATATTTAAGTTCTAATTTCACAACAACATAAAGATCTGTCTTACTTTGCTGTCTTGCTTGTCCTCCAGGGGATCCAGTACCTGATCGAGCAGCAACTATTGTCCTCAGACCTGCAGGAGATTGCCAAATTCCTCCACAAGGGTGAAGGCTTGAACAAGACAGCCATTGGCGATTACTTGGGTAGGAGGTAAGAAACCAGCTGTGATAAAGAGGTCCTTTGGATGCCCTGTTCTGCATAATCTCTCTCAGCCACCATTTTAGATGACCCTTGGCAGATGCTGAGACTGAACATGACCTCACACTACAGTAGGCTGGGTGAGCAGTGGACACTGGGAGATGTCCTTTAGAGTGTGGCTGAGGGTGGCTCCATGGGTTATCTGTCTTTCCATCTATACTGGAGTCAGTCTCAGACAAGAGTGGTGCCCATGCATCTTGGTTTCTTGCTGGTTGAGGGGAAAGGGAGTCTGGGAGGGAGCAAGATGCGTGTGATCACACCAAGGAGCATCCAAATAGAGCAGGGACACAGCTCTCTACTGACCTTTTCCCTTTCTCCTCTCCCAGAGACTCCAAAAACATTCAGATTCTCCAAGCCTTTGTGGCATGTCACCAGTTTGCCAACCTCAACCTGGTGCAAGCACTAAGGTGAGTGTTCAAGAAGTAAGAAATGGAGCAGGAGCCTGTTCAGCCACTGGGTCTTACCACACAAAGAGGTCATGAAAGCCCCAGTGAGATGAGATTGGGTTTCCCAAGGCTATGCTATGTGTGTTGGCTCTACGCTGTTTTTCTGTGAATTGTAAACACACCTTTCTTTGGTGGACTTTTTTCATGGTATTCTGAATGGATTAGCCTCATGCAGGGATGATGGGGATAGCAAGGTGGGTTGTTGTGAGGTGGAGGGTAGGGACAGGGTAGGTTATTTTTTGTACTAGGAAATACATTAGCTCACGGTGCCCATTATGTCTGTGACAAAGTGATTCTGTCCTGGAGCATCTTGTTCTCTTTAGGCAGGCCTTCTGGCAGGGCTCTCTCTTCAGGTCCCTGATATCTTGCAGAATGCTCAGTAGGGAAGAAGAGTCATGATTTACAGGATGCTTAGCTCTACTTCTTTTTAGAATGTTTAAGGGTGAGCCTAGGAAATTTTTAGAGAAAGGAGCAGATCTCCTGCTTGATGTGCTGCATTGTTTTCCTGCTGTGATGAGACAACTTCCTTTATTTCCATGGTGTCCCATGGGCTGAGGGAAAGGATAAATATTCCTTGTACACAATCTGACTAACTCTCTGGCATGCTACTCCTGCTAGACAGTTCCTATGGAGCTTCCGGCTGCCTGGGGAAGCACAGAAAATTGATCGCATGATGGAGGCCTTTGCCAACTGGTACTGCAAGTGTAACCCAGGAGTATTCCAGTCCACAGGTATTTATAGGGAGAAGAAGGCCTATAAAGCAAAGAACCACTTTGTGTTAGAGAGAGGAACCTTCTTTCCCCAATCACAGGGCATAGAAAGCATCCTGTGAAAGTGAGGATGCTGTCTTTCATGTTCTCTTACTTGAAGCTAAAGAAGGCAGACCAGAACTTTTTGACAGGCTGATGGTCTTCTGTCCTCTTTCTTCTAGTGTACTCCAGCCCGTCCCAACAGGGAGCAGGCTTGAGAATTGCTCCCAGCCCCACGTGAAACATACCTCCTTGCATCATGGGTACCACTTACAAGCATGGGTCTGTAGAAACTTGCTAGCAAAGCTTTTACCTGACCAGGTCTGCCCAAATTGCCTACTAGGGAATCATATCCACCACAGGAGATCAACTCTCCTCAAGTCCTGTCTGCCTCTCTTACACCAGGGAGAGGGGAGATCTCCTCCTAAATCTGGGAGGTTGAAGCTGTTCACTAGCAACTGGAAGACTAGTCACCTGTTAGCATGTGGATTATCTGCTCTCTAAGAAAAACGCCATCAGTCCTGGTTTTCTTTCTCATTGACAGATACATGTTATATACTCTCCTTCTCCATTATCATGCTTAACACCAGCCTGCACAACCCTAATGTGAAAGACAAACCCCCCTTTGAAAGGTTTGTGTCCATCAACCGAGGCATCAATGATGGAGCAGACCTGCCACAAGAGCTCTTAAAGGTAAAAAAGGCTTTCCCATTTTATCATCAGTCCCTATTTTCTCTCTGGGTCAAGCTTCACCCTGAACATAAGGTCCATTGGTCTCAGTGTAATATAAGACTACTGACCTTCTGCCCTGTAAGGGGAGAGCTGCTCAAGGAAAAAGGTATAAAATGGAAGCTGGAAAACATGAAAAATGCTTTGGAGAGTGACTGCAGACATGCTTGTTGGTGAGGACATGTAGCAAGAGAGATATTCAGAGAATAGCAGTGAACAGTGGTAGCCTTCTACATAGGGGCAACTGTAGAATCCTGCACCTGGGAAGGAATAACCACATGCATTAGTGCAGATCAGGGGCTGACCTGCTGAAAAGGAGCTCAAGGAGAAGGACCAGTGCATCCTAGTGAACAGCAGGTTGGCCATGAGCGAGCAGTGTGCCCTTGTGGCCCAGAAGGCCAATGGTGCATTACAAAAAGCATGGCCAGCAGGTAGAGGGAAGTGATCGTCCCCCTCTCCTCGGCCCTGCTGAGGCCACATCTGGAGTGTTGTGTCCAGTTCTGGGCACCCTGGCTCAAGAAAGGCAGAGAACTTCTAGAGAGAGACCAGGGGAGGGCCACCAAGATGATGGGGGGCCTAGAGTATTTCATTGGTCAGGACAACAGAGCCTGACCTCTTTTGCACAAGAATATATCTGTGCAAGTAGCACCATCAAGCCCAAAATGAATGCCTGAGGCTTTTAGAACACCTTTTCCAGCACCTTTAAAGCTCTCAGCAGTCCATACCATCTCTGATCCCAGAGGATGAAGGGGCAGAAGGGGGATGGAGGCAGGAGACACAGCCCTTATCAAAGCTGGAGCTATCAGCTTCCCAGGGGCTCAGCAGGCACAGGGCCATAGAATCGTAGAATCATCTAGTTTGGAAAACACCTTCAAGATCATCAGCTCCAAATGCCTGGGTTCTGTGAAATACATCTCTTTATGGTTATGCAGATGCATGTGTTGGTCTTTGCATTCAAGTTCTCAGCAGAATGTTTGGTTATTGGATGGTACACCACCAACCAGGGCCTAAATGGGGCTGCAGTCACTGTCACCCCCCTCCCACCCTTTAACTTCCTTAGTGCTACCTTGTTATACCCTCAGCAGTCGCCATAGGACACGCTGTGGTCAATCACTGCTGCCAGTCCTGATGAATTACATGGTTTCCGAAATGGATTTCCTTTATTTTTAACTCAGGGTGCAGAAGAAAGCTTGCAGACACTCTTGAAACAGTTTGAGGTGTATATTGAGGGCTGTTGAGAGCTAGTGCTCACTGTTACCTCCTTTCCGATTCACTCACCTGCCCCTGGGTAGAGTGATGTACCAGATGGACCTGAAATGATTGTGTACAATTTTTGTCAGAAATTTGTCTTTCTTTCTGTTTATTTTCTCTTTCTCTCCTTGATCCAACGCTCTGGTGCAGAATCTGTTTGACAGCATAAAAAACGAGCCATTCTCTATACCAGAAGATGATGGAAATGATCTCACGCACACTTTCTTCAACCCTAACCGTGAGGGCTGGCTCCTGAAACTAGGTCAGTGGGAGCCTTCGTCTAACTCCTCGGGATTCCTCACCTTCATGCCTCTCTCACATCACAAATTTCCCCCAGAAACCCACTCAGGCATCCAAAACTCACCCTGGCACCAGCATCTCCATTGTCCCTCCCTCCCGTCTGGTGTGGTGAGCTGAGGCTGACACCTGCTGTTGAAACCAGCCGCCTGCTCTCTCCTCTTCTGGCCCTGCTCCTACAGGTTCTCTCTGCTCAAAAAACAAAAACAAAGCAAAACAAAAAACAACCACCACCAACAAAAAAACCCTGTTTCTATATATACATACATATACATCCCCTCTCCCCATCCCTAGCCTCATCACAGCAAAATCCCTCAGCATCCATCATATGGTGGTGAGTACCACTGGTACACTGGTGGTAACGACCATGGTTTTCTTCTGGGGACTGATGGCTACAGGGAGAGCGTGCATGTGTGTGTGCAGAGTAGGGTTGGGGGAAGGACAGCTAGGAGTGAAACTAATGGATTTTGAACCTTTAGGAGGACGTGTGAAAACCTGGAAACGTCGTTGGTTCATTCTGACCGATAACTGCCTGTACTACTTTGAATATACCACGGTAAAGGATGAACTCTAGGTTGTGAACTTGTACTGGGTGGTTACAAGCCTCTGAGGGGCCGGGGAGGATAGGGGCTAAGACTGCCTCACACTGACAGACTGAGTTCAGACCTCCTTCCTTTCATATACCATTTCCTTGGCTGTGGTCTGGAGATAGTCTGTGCACCGAAGCTGTTGCTGGGATCTCTTGTTATCTAAGGTTCCCATAATGTAAATGTAGGGATCTCCCCAGGCACACACTGCTTTTGTTCTACAAAGGTGCACATGTTGGGGAAATCAGAGGGGCTGTGGCAAAAGTGTAGGGATGATGTTTGGTGTTAATTCCTGTTTCTTTGACTGCAGGACAAGGAGCCTCTGGGTATAATTCCCCTGGAGAACCTATCAGTCCAGAAGGTGGATGACCCCAAAAAGCCAGTAAGTCTCGTTTGCTTGATATTCTGCCAATAGGAGGTTGGTGGGAAGAGAAGGTTCTCACAAGCTGGTGAAGGCTGAGGTGGCTTTGGGAAAAGGATGTAGTGGGGAACAGCAATTTCCCAAGCCTGTGTGTACTATACTTCTCAAAGGGGAGGTGCCAAACTGGGTTGGAACCCACTCTAAACACAGTTGTACTTTAACAGACAACCATTGGTCTGAGAACCATCCTTTTACTGGCTTAATTGTATGTACACATCTGTATGTTGGAAGAGATGAGTACACAGAGCTGGCTTCTATATATACTGCACCAAAACTCTCCATAATGAGTTACATGATGTGTACTCCAGGCAGTGCTGTGGGGTTAAGAAACTTTCAGGAAGTGACACTTTTCCTCTGTGCATCTTCCATGGAAAACCACTTTGAGTTTGGGAGAAGTGCCATTTGTCTTGTGGTAGCAGACAGAAGAGAGAATGCTGTGTCTACCCAAAAGTGGAAGATATTCTCATGTGTGGAGCAGGATGACAGATGCCATAATGCATAACTATTGCTACTTCACCTCTCCATAACACCTGTTTTTATGTCCAACCCCTCACAGGAGGCATGTGCTTACCTAAGAGGGATAGCTTGAAGATCTAACTCATGGGGCGATTCTTGGGGCAGGGAAGATGAGACCCCGTAGCATTGCAAAGACAGAATGCTCTTGTCCCTTTTGAAATCTTTCTGAGCCTGTCATCTATGGCTGAAAGCAACATAGCTTCCTTGATCCCTCCTGTCATCTGCTGCAATTCCATTTTGTTCCCTTTCTGACAGAATTGCTTTGAGCTCTTCAATCCCAACTGCAAAGGGCAGAAGATCAAAGCCTGCAAAACAGATGGGGATGGGAAGGTGGTTGAAGGCAAGCACCAGTCCTATAAGATCTCTGCAGCTACACCAGCAGAACGTGATGAGTGGATTGAGGCAATAAGGTGAGGAGACCTTAACTGGAAGCCTGAGCCTGCCAAAATGTTCACACAGTTTATCTGGCTGCTGGGGAATACAGCGCGAAAAGGGGAATGAAAATAACTGTTTGTAGCCTAACAACCACTTGATGCCAAAGAGTTTCAAGGTCCCTTCTGGAGAACCTCTAGACACAGCTTTGATCTCTCCTATTTGCACTTCTCCACTCCTACTTTTTGGTGAGCTGTTTCTCTGTGCAGATTTAGTAGGCTGCCTGTGTTGTTCTCTGGCATTAAAATTCTTGCTCTTTCTCTCATTTCTGCCTATATTCAGGACTAGCATCACACAGAATCCTTTCTATGATCTCGTCTCTGCCCGAAAGAAGAAGATTGCCAACAAAAACTGATCCCTGACCTGGTCGCTGGCAGCAGGAAGATGTAGTTGTTGAACAGCATCTCTCACATGCTGGGCACTTTCAGGGAAGAAATTTGGGAGGATTGGCACCTTCCCACTTGGCATGAAGATGACTGACAGGACAACTTACCAGATTTGCTTCTTCTCCTTCCAACCCAAAGGCAGAGGAGCAATCCACTGAGGACTGTCAGAGCTGTGGGCACAGCACTTCCCGTGTCATTGCTCAGAGGCTAAACGTCAACTGGCTTTTGGCTTTCTCCATATTGCTCCAGCTATGAAGGGCAGGATTTGAGGAGAGACAAGAATGCCTCCAGAACACCTTCCAGCCTGTAGCTGATCTCTACAACCATCAAGTGAAGGTCATTTTTCTGTGTGAATGCTATCGAGACAGCAAAGCATAGTCCAGTCAGTTGTGGAGTAGATAAGATCCATTGGTTTTTCTTCCATGAACAGATGTGTTGTGGTTGTGTCAAGGTGGCACTAATGTTTCAGGACTCCAGGGTGAAACCAGAGCACAGAGGATGGTAAGAGTACCTCTGTGCAGATCTCTTCTTTGCCTCTTCCTATAGCCATGAGGGCTGTAATTCTGGGAAGTCCCTGCTCTGCAGCTGAGTCACAGGTTTTAGGAAGTAATTTATGTTAGATAGGAGATAGGGTGCACACTCTATGTAGAGAGGCTCCTGAGCAAGGAAAGCAGCTCTGGGTCTCTGTCTCTGGGACTGGCTTCTCTTGCTACTTTGGGACTGGCCATAGGTCTCCCCAGGGAAGAACCCCAAATGCTATCTCTCCTTCCGGCTGATGGCTACCCAGCAAGCATTGCTTGCCCAAGATGTGTATCTGAAAGGTCTGCAGCCAGAAGGCATGATAAATCAGAGGTGCATTTACATACACACACGAGCATGAGCACACAGAGGCATTCCCATCTTCACAGATCGGTTTCACTTGGAACTTGCTGTTTTTGGCTCTTGTGTGAAGAAATAAAAGTATCTGAAACAAACGGAAACCTCAGGGCAGCATGATTATTGTGGTGATAAAAGCAGAGGATGTGAGATAAGAGTGTTGTGTTCTTGAGCATAGCAAAGCAGCCTGAGCTCCAGCACAGCTCTGCAGTGCACCCAAGATGCAGGCTGAGCAGTGGCACCAGCAGTGGAGGAGGAGAAAATGAGACAGGAGAAAAGGAGCAGGGACTAGTGACACTGTCTGCAAGCAGGGAAGGGAATGGATATAAATACCAGAGAATTGCTACAGAAAATTACACCTGCAAGATGAAAGAACTTGATAAGCTATTGCTATCTCGTCCCTTTACCTTTCAGGGCTCTTCCTGTAAATAATGGTGCTCTGCTTCTGCCTTTTTGCTTCCTGCAGAGGGCTCTATCCACCAGGAAATCTGCAGCAGGGCCTGCACCACCGATTATTCATTTTGGTTATTTTTGCCCGAGCCACAGGAATGTTGAATTAATTTCAGGAGGCAGGGAGTGTATCTCAGAGTTGAAGCACGCACACACCCTGGAGAAGGAACGTGAAGGTTTTCTTCTGCTTGTGCTTGTGAACGTCTCCTGCATTGAATCTCTGTGTTGCTGATGTGATACAGAGTGAGTTTTCTGCCCGCTGCTCTGCAGCACGTGCTTGCGCACGCATCCACTCTTGCTGTGGGTGCAATGCAGGGAGGCAAGGTCATGGCCAGAGGTGGGAGGAGAAGTCAGAATCTGGTCCCTCATCCCAGAGACATCTCCAGTGTATATAAGAGAAATACAGACAAGCACTTGGCTAGTAGAAGATGCCCCAGAGCCTAGTATTTGGGTAAGGAATTTCTATTCTACTGCCTCTCAGGCTCTTGCTCTGTTTGCCAAAAGCCATCAAAATGCAGCTCTTCTATCCACAGTCTGATAATTCATGCTGAGCTCTGCCTGAGCTTACCTGGATTCTTTCTATGACAGCAGTCTGTCCAAGCTCTTTCCCATCAAGGAAGGTGTGTAATGGCTGCCCAGAGAGCTGTGTATGCCCCATCCCTGGAGGTTCAAGGCCGAGTTGGATGGGGCCCTGGGCAGCCTGAGCTGGTAGGTGACAGCCCTGCCCACATCAGGGACTGGGAAATCGATGATCTTTAAGGTCTCTTCTGACCTAAGCCATTATATGATTCTGTGATCAAACTGATCACAAGATTGAGGTAAAGATAGACCAGATTTCCCTTAGAGGTTGAGGTAGGCAGAGACACAGTATGTTTCCAGACACAATTAATTCCCAGACCCCTTGCTCAATCTCCTCAGTGCTATGAACACAGTAGTACCAAACATTGTCCACCAGCATCGCAACTCAGGAGCTCTTCAAGTGCTATGCCTGCCCCCATGCCTGCTGAATACCAATATATTTGTGCAAGGAGGGAAAAAAATGAAAAAAATTGGCCAGAATGTTCTGGCTTCATCTATAAAACTTGACAATCCACTTGTATTAGGTGTGCTTTGGCAGCCACGCTCGGAGCTGTCACAAACTTGTGATGGGAACGACTTGTGTAAGAGGAACAGCACTACCAGGCAATGATTTTCTGGCTACCATCATACGTTCCCTTTTCTGAGGGTGCTGCACAAATGCACACCTACACACAGAGAGCCCTTCAGGTTCTAAATCTGACAGGCTGCTCTCTGGTAGACATGTTCATTTTTCTGCTCGTAGGCAGCATATGTGGGTCACACAGACACACATGCAGAAAACTGACACTTACTCTCTGCCAGCCCAAGGATTCCAGTGCGCACCCAATAATTCATTTTCATAATAAATGTCTGTCTGTTTCCATAAAAGGGTTGGGAGGAGAATATCACCGAAGTGTAGGATAGAGCACATCAATGCATCTTGCCTCCTCCCCCTTCTTTCCTTCCTCCTGTTCCTGTTTATCAGCTCCTTTTTGGAAGGCTAATACATTTTAAAAAGCCTTTCTAGAAATTGCTTGCAAGTGACACAGATGGAGCAGCAGAGCCAGCAACCTCATTCAGTACCGCTTAGTTATCTAAGCAAAGAGTAGAAAAAAACCTTTGGGATTTGGAGGGGAAGGGCAGTGTAGGTGGTAGACTGAGCAGAATTTTGGATTCAGAGCCCATCAAAAGGTAGAACGTGTCTTTTCCCAGAGGTGTACTGCCTTTGGCAATGGGAGATCATCAGTAAATGGAGTGCCCATCTGACACCATCCATTCCTGGTTGGCCTGAATCTGCTCAGTTCTATGTCATGCATCCTTTAACACAAAAGGAAATTCAAACAACCCTTTTCTGCCAGCTGAACAGAGGTTTTGGAGCAGGACTGCAGCCTTTCATCTCTCCCTGTCTCTGTGATAAGCCATCCGCAGCAATGCAGGGGTTGCAGCCAAGAGAGGTTGACAGGTTTGCCAGCTCATACCATAAGCCTGGAGAAAGAAAAGGCTCTTCCAAGGCCCTCAGGGGGACAAGAACCTCTGGAATCGGTCATTTTAATGGAAAGAAGCACAGCCTTGCCATATCTAAGATGGTTTGAATGAAGCAGTCAGATCTGTGGGGGGCAGCAGGAGCTTCCATCCTGCCTCCCATCCCTTCTTGCCTGGAGGTGGGGGCTGGAGGAAGCCCAGGCAGATCAGGGTCCACACTTGACCAGGCTGTCTTGAACTGTCACTGCTGTCACATATGCAGTGGCTCTGCTCTAAAGTGCCTGCAACAGGGGTGTGCAGCAGTCTTATCTCATTGTGCCATTTCAAATGCTGCTGCCTCCCTGAGATGAAGATGAATGTGACCTGTCCTGGGTTATCATATTCCTATGTATAAGCCTGTGTATAGTCATCAGTTTGCACCTGGAGGTTGATGCTGGTGGCATCTAACTGTGACAAGGCTGTGTGTATTGACCTGAAGGGGATTACAGGGAGCAAGGAGGAGACTCAGTGATGAATAGTGACAAGAACATGTCTTTCATATCATATCACAGAATGGCTTGGGTTGGAAAGGACCTCAAAGCCCACCCAGTTCCAATCCACTGCCATGGGCAGGGCTGCTACTCACCAGCTCAGGGGGCCCAGGGCCCCATCCTACCTGGCCTTGAACCTCCAGGGATGGGGCACCCACAGCTCTCTGGGCTGCCTGTGCCAGTGCCTCATCGCCCTCTGAGTTGAAAATTTCTTCTTAACGTATAACCTAAACCTCCCTTCTTTTAGTTCAAAGCCATTCCCTCTCATCCTATCATTATCAGACCATGTAAAAAGTCATTCCCCCTCCTGTACTCAAGTACTGGAAGGCTGAATGAGGTCTCCCCAGAGCCCTCTCTTCTCCAGAATGAACAAGTCCAAATTCCTCAGCCTTTCCTCATAGGAGAGGTGCTCCAGTCCTCTGACCCTCTTCACGGCCCTCTTCTGGACCCTCTCCACATTACTCCTGTGCTGAGGCCTCAGGCCTGGATGCAGTATCCAGGTGTGGCCTCATAAGGGCAGAGCAGAGGGGGACAATCCCCTCCCTCTCCCTGCTTACCACCCCTCTTTTGATCCAGCCCAGGATACTGTTGGCATTCTGGGCTGCAATAACACACAGCTCTGGAGCTGAGATGACACAAATATCTAGACCAAGTAATATATCACATCTGGGCAGAAGTGCAGGGAGAGGAGCATATGCCCTGCTAGTACAGCACATCTTCACTCCTTATCTTGCTGGAAAAATTGGGTTAGAGGTCCCCTTCTGGTTGTGTCCAAACACAGTTGTGTTCTGCATGCTCACAGTCACACATACTCAAGCGTATCTGTGCATGCACGTGTATCATGGCCAGAACTTAGGAAAGGATTATGATGCTAAGGGACATTGCAAGGTGAGACTTTTAACAGTTCCTTTTTTCTTTTAAGGTACTAGGCTCACCCTAATGCACCTACGTGGAAGAGATGTTTTCTTCTGCTCCTTTAACCATGGTGAGTGGAAGCAAGGTTCCTGGGGATGGCTAAAGAGGTGGTGATTTGTGCAATTAATGTCTAATCAGTTCTATGAATATTTATTGCTCATCAGCAAGCTCCTGAATGACAGCAAAGCCCCATCTGACCAGAATCACATTCACAGCTAAACCAGAGACTCCTGTGGGCTGCGCAGATATGAAAGTGTATAACCATGCCATTGCTCATGGGAGACATAGAAACTGCTAGAAAATTCTACTCCAATCTTTTATGGAGGAGAAAAAAATTGACTTTTAAAAATCAACTGGCTGGGGAGAGACGCCTTGAAATACTCTGATATATTAACAAACTTAACCCATGACTGAATTTGAGCTTGTTCTTTGTGTGTGTGCGTGCGTGCTAATTTATTTTCCATTGCAACGTGGGAGAGAAAATAAAAGGGAGAGAAATATCAATTCCTGCACCTGTGTGAAAAGTCACCTAACAGTCAGGAGCTTCTTGGTGCTTGTCATTGACCCTCCCCCAAAATGGCATGAAGTCTACAGAAAGGTACTGTTTTGCTTCCTCAAGAAATACCGCGTTCAAGGACTTTCTGCCATCATCAGAGTTCTGATGCTCACCCAGCAGTTGGGCTTGATGATCCTTATGGTCCTTTCCAGCTTGAGTTATTCTATGATTCTGTGATATCTGTGCTCCTTTCCAGAATTTCCTTTTCTCTCCTTGCCCTGATTCTTCCATCTCATTCTTTTCTCCGTCTCTTCCTTCCTATGGTGTCTCCTTCAGCTTGATCCTCTCCATAAGGGTTCCATTACCATCCCATCTCCAGCAAATCCCAGGGAGGTGGTGCAGTCACCGTCCCTGGAGGTGTTCCAGAGCTGTGTGGATGTGGCACTGAGGGACGTGGTCAGTGGGCATGGTGGGGATGGGCTGATGGTTTGACCAGGTGATCATAGAGGTCTTTTCCAGCCTCAATGACTCTGTGATTGATTGATTGTAAATCTGCCTCTTCCCTCTTTTCCCTACCAGCAATGCTGCTTTTCCATCTCTCCCTGCACCTCAGCCAAGCTGTGCCTTGGGAACTCCAAGTCTGCCCTGGCAGAGCTCTAGGGAAACCCCCCTATTACCGATGCAAAGACTTTCTAAAACCAGAGCCAAACTCCTCAGCTCACCTGCAGCTTGGGTTTGTGCTGAAGGCTCTGCCAAAAGCCCGTTATTACCTAAATGAAAAAGATACATGGCCCTCCTGGAGAAGGAAGAGACACAGATAACAGTGATTTGTCTGCTGCCTGCTGCCTTATGGCTGAGAAAAAAGCCCCATATTCCAGCAGGGCTTCCAGGACCAGCTCTTGGTGGAGAGAGAGAACAGTGAGGGCTACATTTGCACTTTCTGCATGGATAAGATTCCATTATTTCTGCAGAGGGGTGAGAGAAGAGCCTCTAAATTTGCACCACAGCTATCCCCTTCCTCTAATGCGGTTGTGCTTCAGCCTATACAAGACTGGAATATACAAAACGGGAGCCAGTAATAGACTCAGAATAAACATCAAGGTATCAGAAGAGGGCAGAAGAGAGGGCTGGCAAGCCCAAAGCCATTATCATAGTGTGAAAGGGCTCTGTTCTGCAAGTGTCTGGCAATTGTTTTCCTTGCTGCAGCCACTTGCTTCAGAGCTGTGATTTCAATACCCAGGACTTAATGTGCTGCTTGACCTCCTCTCCACAGGGCATTCAACAGGGAACCATGCTTTGCACACAGAGATGGGAGAAGGACCTCAGGAGAGGCAACGGGAAGGGATGGGGGAGCTGGCAGTTCAGGTCCATGAAACCTCAGAAATTCCCAGAAATTCCAGCTGACCTTACACCCCTGTCATACACAGATTCACCTCACAATGGCTGATGTCCATGCAGCAGCATCTTTACTCTGCTGCAGTGAAAACTGATGTAATGGTGGGTAACACAGGTGTGCACGCACGTGTTTCTTTTCCAGTACAGTACCTTCTTCTGCCCATTCACAATTTCACCACATCTCTGTGCCAAGCTAGACCTAAATATCCCCAACTTACCCAAATGTAAAACCGTATCTAAAATACACTGTTTTATTTGAATATCCAGGGGGCCTTTGTTTGGTTATATTTTGAGGTTATTTTCTCTCTCTGGAGAAGAGAAAGTACCTCACTTCTCTCTTTCCTTTCTTGTATTTGATATGAGAATTGAAATTGTCATTTGATTCCCCCAGCTCTAGGTGCTGAGGCTTTAAGGAAGATGTTAAATATCATGATGTTTAGGACAAAGCAGTGAGATTTGCATCATTTCCATGCAGTTCTTTCATCAGATAACTCAACTCCTGCTGTAAAGTGTGTTCTTAGATTCCTTTCTTCTCCCAAATGCTTACCCTCCTCTGTTCCCCAGCATCTGATCAAAACACCCCTGTACCACCTGCAGCTCTGCTCAGTCCTTTGTAATCACACACAGAAGAATCCTTTTATTCTTTAGTTTTTCTAACTTTTATTTTAGAAAATACCCATGTTTGACGTATGGCTCCATAGGGTAACGTACAACATTCCTTCCCAGCTTTGCCACAGACTTCTCCATGATTCCCTGCTTTGTTACAGACTCACCTGTGGTAGCTCCTCATCTCCGTTTCCCAAATTCAGCAGTACACCCTCTTTTCTTCAGAAAATCAAAAACTCAGAATGTGTCAGAAATTGTTCGGCATGCTGCAAGATGATCCTTAAAATCATCCATTCTGTTGGGGTAAACCTTAGCAAACCCATGGGGCTTTGCAGTGGGAGAGGAAGAAGAGGGAAACTGTCCTGCAGTCAGGTTTGGAGCTGTTGCATAATTCCACCCTCCCTTCCTTCCCTCTCTCCCTCCCTCCCTTCCCTCCGAGAGCTGCTCCTGTGAGCTGAGGATTGCTAAGAAATTGAAAACCTGTTGGTGTGAATTTCAGAGATGCCTGGCAGGGGCAGCTGGAGCAATGAAGGGTTCAGTGTATTAAACTTGCCGTAGTAAAGCCATAATAGGATTTTGCATGCTGCTGCGATCAGAATGCACAAACCAGCTCAGCATCCTGCTTTATCAGACTTGCTTCCAGTACACCCTTCCTGCTCTATAACTCCCTTCCTACCTGTAGTGCTTGTCCCAGTCCTAAGGCTTTGAAAGAATGCCATCTGCACAGGATGAAGGGGGGTGGGGGGGGGCTTTCCTCTTTCTACTCTATTCCTTTTAGGAACATGACAAGCAGCATATATAGGTGGGGATGTGTTAGTGGTGAAGGGGAAAGGGCAGAAATGCTCCCTAAGAAAAAAAAAGGAGCAAGAAAGTGAATTTCTAAGGAGCTGGATCAGAAAAATATGGATAAGAAGGCTTGGGAAGAAGCAACCCAAGTGACAAGTGGAACATGATGGAAAGTAGTGAAGGAAAACCAGAAGGAGGGATGCTCCAGGGAAAGATTTAGGAATGATCTGGGGGAGGGAAAACAGAAGAAGGAGGATGTGGATCACTGAGTCCAACTGTCAGCCCATCCCCACCATTCCCACTAGCTATGTCCCTCAGAGCCACATCCACACGGTTCTGGAACAGGTCATTATAGAGAGTGATGAGGTCTCCCCTGAGCTTCTCTTCTCCAGACTGAACAATTTCAGTTCCCTCAGCTGCTTCCCTTAAGACTTGTGCTGCAATCCTTTCACAGGTTTGCTGTCCTTCTCTGGACACATTCAAGGGCCTCAATTACTTTTTTATAGTGAAGGGTCCAAAATAGTGGCAACAGAGCTGTGAAAAGGCAAGCACTGGGTCAGAGATGGGTTTGCATTCTGTGGTCAGGACAGCCATGGAACTGCCCACATCCCAGAGAGGAGTGTGCAACCAGTCTGCTCCTAGGAGGGATGTGAAGGGCAGCAACCTCCCCCTTTTCCGCTATGAAGAAGGTGTAAAAGAACCCCCATCCCCAAGACACTCCCTGTCAGGCTGGGCTGCAGACTCCTTCTTAATCATGAACACAACTACAATTTGAATCACTGTCTGGAGAACCTCCTGTCTATGTGTACTTTCCTTTCTATTTCACCTTTTCATTTCAAACCCTCTCAAGGTTTGGCTACTCTTTACCTCCTTCCCGAGTTCTTCGGTGGAATTTTACCCTTACAGTACATGAAAGGAGCTTATAAGCAGGACAGGGACTAAGTTTTTACATGTCTGATAATGATAGGACAAGGGGAAATGGCTAAAAGAGGGGAGATTTAGGTTTAGATGTTAGGAGGATATTCTTTACTCAGAGATTCTTTACACAGGCTGCCCAGAGAAGCTGTGGGTGCCCCATCCCTGGAGGTGCTCAAGACCAGGTTGGATGGGGCCCTGGGCAGCCTGAGCTGGTGAGTGGCAGCTCTGCGCAGGGCAGAGGCTGGGGCTTGGTGGGCTCTGAGGTCCCCAGCAACCCAAGCCATTATGTGTTTCTGTGATTCTATGAGTATGGTTGACTGTCTCCCAATCCCTTCCCCTCACCACCACGAGGAAGAAGGCAGGAAGAGTAAGGAGGAAAGACACCATTCAGGTGCCGCTTGGGAACCTCTCTGCCATACTGGCTTGGGTAACCTGCCATCAAGATGCATGCCCCAAGAGCCCATATAACCTCACCCTAACACAGAGCCAGTGGTAGCCTCCCTGCTTCTCCAACACTCTCAACCCAAAATTTAAGCCTGAGTGGAAGTGGGAGAGATTTGGATTAAAGTAAGGCAATATTTGTCAGTTAAGTAGTAATTTGGAGCTTAATTTAGAGTGGTCACCTCTGGCACACTGGGCATTTGCACAAGGAAGGTGCGAGGCATTTCTGTGCTTACTGCTCCTTTCCAGCCCAGAGAAAGCCAGGAAGGTACTTGGAGGTTTGCTCTTCAGCTGTGAGTGAGTTTGCAAAGGAAACCACATTGCTTGGGTCACTGACAACTTGTGTGGCCAGAGCCCCAGGGATGGTACTCTCTGGCTGGCTGGGTAACAAGTGCATCCATTTCGAGTGTTGGTAGTGTGGCACTCAGCCACTTGGCAGAAAGATGGATCAAATCGTAACACAGCCAAGAAAAGCCTGGGAGGGAGACAGAGTCCAACTCTGTCAGGCCAGGCTGCGGCTGCTTAACAGTAGAAGGAGAAAACTTAGTTGGGTTTTAATTTGGAATTCTGTAGTGCAAGGTCTGGGTATGGATAGATGGCAGTGGATTCCACGGTCACTATGAGAGAGTTAGGTTGCCATAGTTACTCCTCCATTAGACTTCCTTTCCAGCAACCAAACAGACACCATTGCTGTGCCAAATAGACACCACCACAAGTGTAAAGGGAGGGCAGGGCAGACTGAAGATCATGAACAGAAGTTTCAAAAGGCATGTTGCTCCACCTCTCCCTAAAAGCACATTTCTTTCCCATTTTCTTTCTGGTACTCTATATACTGTGGTTTCCCATCTGTACTGTAAGTAGAGGCAGACCAGTCTCTTCTATTCTATGACTCTTCTTTCCACCAGCTCTTCACCTAGAGTCTGTGTGGCACAGCAGCAAAGTGGTGAGTCAAACCTGACCACGGATGGTCTTCCACCATCAGGATGAGCTAGAAAGTCCAAACCCACAGTGTTTGAGCCAGCAACCAGTCATTTCTGCCACATCTCTACCTCACTCCATAGGACATGGAGAGGTGACTCCATACCCAAGCTTCCCCTTTTCCTTTGAGGAGTGGGCCTATTTCCCTTTTTCCCTCTCAAGGGCAAGGCACCATTCCCTTGTCCTTGAGAGGAAAGCAGGTCTAGGTGATGGTGAATGTCTTCTCACCTAGAAACAGGCATTCCGTTAGCAAAATGCACAGCACGGGATTGTCATGGTGAAGTGCAGAATCATGGGAATAAGCTCTCTGACAAGAGGAAGGAGCAGCCCCATACTCAGCATGTACAGACAGCAGGCCCTAATTTCTCCCCTGCTTTGGGCTCTGTGTGCCAGGATGAGATGCATCAGGAGAGGTACCATTTTGCTAAATCTTGAAGCTGACACATTAAATAACCATTAGCATTGCTATCCTGCCAGAGAGCATTAGTGGAGATACAGGGACTGCTTCCTCCCTGATTCCTAGCCCCAGTCCCTCCTGTCCCTTCTTGTCTCCCCAGCCCAGCCTGGTTACTGTTCCCAGTACTAACATTATCAATTACCTCAGGTTTTCTCCAACTCCTCCTTCAGAAAACATGTCATTGACATCTTTCACTAGCTCCTTCCTAAGGATTTCTGTCTCTTGAAGAAGGTATTTCTCTACACCAAGCACACAAACCCACATTCAGATGCATATCTAGTAAAGGACAAATGGGAAGTCTTACCTTGTTCTGCCTCCTGGAAGCATATATGAAGCAGAGATAGCAAAGGATAAAGTTAGAAACACAGACTCTCGTATTCTTTCTTGGATGCAGGGGTCAGTGGAATTTGCTGCCAAGATCTGATTTTGTGACACAGTACAAATTTCTTATCAAAGCCATTCCTGCCATCCCTCCACAAGTTTGGGCTACCAAGCAATCCAAAAGCAGGATGGGTGCATCTTCTCTGCAGGGGGTGAATAGAGGTGAGGAATGCAAGTAGGGTTTGCTCTGGATGTCTGTGCTCACGTTAGAATATGGAGCTGATTCACTAGATGTGGGCCAAGCTCTCATGGACTCACTGTGCTCGTTACCAAACCTAAGCGACCTGAAAGAGCTTATGCTCGGACGGTTAAATTCTCCTCCCCTCTACTAGAGCAGATGGGTCTTATAAATGACCCTCGGCATTCATGCATCAAACCAGGCATGAACGTCATCCAGAAGATTGTGGATCTGCACAATCCACAGCCATGAATGAGAGTGGGCTGACAGCTGTGGTGCAGACAATCTGAGAACGATGCTCAGACTGTCCTAACTATGTTCAGGACAGACGTATGGCTCTGTCCATGGGCCTTCAGGAGTTTGGGGGAAAAGGGAAGGGGAGAGAAGGGAAGGGAAGAGATATGCCCCAACTCTCCAAACAAGCGAAAATGTCTGTTTGGAAATGATTTTAAGTGACTCAAGCAAAGAAAGGGAGTGATTTGGGGAGCAGAGCAGGTTTTTTTTCTTTCTCCTGGGGTGATGATGTCAAATATCAGTGACAGAAGGAAAATTATGTCTGGATTTTATCTTGGTGGTTGTGAGCATCAGTGTAGGTGTATAAACAAGAAATTGCAAAGGCTGGGAGCTGAGATGCTGCAGACCTGTGTGCCTTCACCCACAGCATTTTTGATCCATCTATCTCCTAGTTCTCATATCAGAATTCATCTTCTTTTTCCCTATCAATTGCAGTGCTTTGGAGAAAAGAAAAATGTTTGGGTATGCAGAAGGAGAGTGTCTGCTCCTGTAATGGGATCTGCTTCAGGACCTTTTTCGAGGCAGTGGGGAATAATAAGAAAGGGAGGCAGTGATGCAACCCGAGTCTGGTCTGTCACACTAATTGGTGAGGGCATTTGAGAATGAGGGAGTGTTTATTCCCACAGGGTTTGATAGCAGAAGGAGGATTTGGTGGGAGTACAATATTGTGTACTTATACATGACTGTGTTTCTAACACATAAATACCCACCTATTTGCAGTAAATCAAGTATGGGCGTGTTTCTGATTACCTAGAAATACTGACAGATTTCTCTACTTTTTTACAGTCTCAGTTTCAGGGGATATTATCCTCACTGGACAGGTAAGAGTGCAAATATGTACTTATTATGGCTGGAAAGAGGGGCGTGTTAATTGTTAGGGAGCTTTTTGCTCCACAAACAAGGATGATTCAGGAGCTGAAGATGACTCAAGCATGGGCAGAGCAGCAACCTCACAGGCTGGGGTACAATACAGTATCACACAAGCTGGGCTCATGACAGCAGTAAGACCCATTAGCAATCTCAGTTAAATAAAGGTGGTGAATCAGCTCTAGGATCCACATGGGTATGCTTGAAAAACCCCTATCTGAAAGATGCTTCAAAGATTGTTCAAGAGTCTGGAGATATGCTAGAAATCAGGGGAAAAAAACTGCTTGAGTTACTTAGAAGGTGGGGAGACACTTCCTGCTGGGTCCGATAGCAATAGGATATAGTAAGGAAAGTGTTACTTGAAGTGGCATAAAAGGAAAAATAAGTTTTCTCCCTGCAAAGTGATATTATCACATTGTACCTTATGCTGAGCAAAGGTAAAAGAAGGAAGCTGAAAGGAAGGACAGAAATCAACAAGTGTTAATGAAAAAAGTATGCCAAGAGCAATGAAAACAGCACTGCTGCGGAAAAGGGAAGAATTGACCGAAAGCTTGAATTATAAACATCAGGATTCATTACAGTACATAAACAGAAAAAGCCCTTTCGGAAGGTGTTACTGTGTAAGTACATATCCAGAGGAAGTGTAAGAAAAGTCATTATCTCACAAAGACATCCCAATTGCGCACACACAGCGCTTTGATAGGCCCATTACAGAACCAATTCAATGGCACATCCAGCTTCTCTCCCGCGATCAAAAATACAGTGACTTTAGAAAATGGGCTGAGAAAAAGAACACCTACTGTGAGCAAGACCACAGAAGTGCTCTCAGCGCAAGTCTCTTGGCTGCCCTTGCTTCTCTTTGGATGCTCAATGTCAGCCCCGCAACAACACCTCTTGCCCGTGTCTCTTCTGAAACCTTAGCTCTGTTTCTTATTTCTGGTTCGGTTTTGAGATCGGGGTTTTGTCTGTGGGGTGAGAGATGTCTGGTTATAAAAATGCGAAGAGTGCAAGCAGATGACACAAGGATGGGGTAGGCGGGAAGTGCTGTGCTGTCAAATTCCTGCAATTACACTGGATGAGTTCAGGTGGTTCACAATGAAGTCACGAGAAAATAATGCAAGGTGGGATCTAGGCCTTTATCTGAGAAAAAGATGTGGAACAGCAATACACGCCAGCCTGCAGGATCTTTTCGGTGAGCATGCCAGGGAAATCACGTTCCAAGGCTGATCTCCAGATCCAAACATATCAAATTTCTAATTGCCAGATTTCTATTTACTCATCTAAATGCCCATTGACTGTAAGGGGCTTCAAGCGTGAACGTTGGAGTCGCTGTTTTTATTTCCCCTCACTGTGCTTTATTAACATACAGACAAACAATGAATGAATGAATTATTCAGCACCAAATTAATCTGCAGTTTAGCAACATATTCCTTTTATCATCAGGGAGGATTAGACAGTCTGCACTTCCATGCTGACCAGCAAGCTCCAGGTACTGCTACTCCTGGCAACTCGTGGCTGATTTGCCTTGGATTTGAAGCAACTGTTGTCAAGAACTTAAACCTCAAGAGGTGAATGGCAGGCCTCCTTAAGGTATCTTCCTTTTTCCCAGCCATCCTGTCTCTTCCTGCTTCTTTAAGCCCAACCGAGGGATGAATATTATTTTCTAATGACTGAAAGAAGACAGATAAGAGGCAGGTCTTCAGATTAAGAATCCAAGACTTGATTGCAGCTCTTATCATACTTCTTTTCCATTTTTTCCCTCTTCTTCCCACCAGAAAATAAATTGCTTCAATAAATTATGTCTTTAATCTGCATAGGGGACCAGCAGCCTGAGCTCTCATTTTAATACGTTCTATATCAAGATAATCAACATTTTCTTTTCACTGTGTGGAGCAAACTAATAGATTTTAAACAATTCTATTATTTGATGACTTCTCCTGTTATTAATACAAATTGTCTCTACTCGCTTTCAATTAGAGCATTTTTATTTTCTAATAAATCCCTAACAGGTTCTCTCAAACACCTCCTAGACACGGGGAGATTACACACCTTCCATTAAACAGAGTACATATCACACACAGTGCTTTACCTCCCTCCATTTCTCATGACTTTCCTTCTACTGGGTTCTTCCTCTTTCACTTCTCCTTCCTCTCTCTTTCTCAGCAGAACCCGCTTATTTTCTTTCCCCGCTGCTTTCTCCTAAATCTATTTTTATGTGGCTATCTCAGGTGGTGAAGTCAATAAGACTCCCCATTAACAGTATTGATTTGTGCAGTCTCCTATTATTCTGCCTGCATTCCCAAGAGTGACACAGCTCACATCTAGTGCAAATGCTCTATCCAGGGCCCCCTTTCGCTGTCCTGACACATGGAAACGAAAAACTCTGCTAACCTTCTAGTGAGAGTGTACTACCACATGCACTGTTTGCAACACAGGCTGCTCAGGGGAAGGTCAGGTTGGATATCAGGAAGAGGTTCTTCACCAGAGAGTGTCAGGCATGAAATGGGCTCCCCAAGGCAGTGTTTACAGCATCGGGCCTGCTGGAGTTCAAGGGACATCTGGACAATGTCCTCAAACATATGGTCTGATTTTTGGGTTGTCCTGTGTGGATCCACAAGCTGGACTCAATGGTCCTTATGGGTCCCTTCCAACTCGGAGCATCCAGTGATTCTGAGTTTGTGATGCAACTGTCCAAAGGCATCCCCACCTGAAAGCAGAACTTATGTGGTCATTCATAGCTGGGGGAGTATTTACTTCTAGGACAGCTGTAAAAAGGAGTGGTAGGACTTCCAGCTGCAGTTCGTAGCCTGGCTGCTTTTGATCAAGCCCAATTGCATGTTGTCCTGCATGGCCAACAATTGCATCTTGTCCTCTTGGCCAAACACCTTGGCTCTTAAAGTTTTCACTCACCTTCTTGGGTCTCTGGTCATTCACAATCACTGAAATGAATGGTTGCCCAGAGTTGACTACTGATTTGTCACTAAACACTACATACATTTCTTTTTTTTGTTTTGTTTTTTTGTTTTTTTTGCTTTTCTCCAGCAGCACTAAGGGAGTCCCATTCAAATGAAGCAGGGAGAAACTGAGTGTATGCAATCATACTCCATCAATGAGCTTAGGACTCTGAGAGTGGTGGATGGAGAGGTAGCATTGCTGCTTTTATTTTAAAGCTGAATGAAAGTGGTGCAATACTCTCCACAAGCCTACGGCAAAGCTAATATCTGAAATCCCACAGGGCTGTCATGGCATCTAGGAGCGGTCTAGGGTCTCCTTCTCAAATCTCAGACCTATCCATTATTTAATGCTATCACAGCAGTGCTCAGCTTTCAAGAGGCACCATTAAATCTGATCCGGCAGCTAAGCAGTGCTGCATGTGGGTGAGGAGCACCATGCGTGCCCAGCACACCAGCAACTCTCCCTCAGTGCAGTACCTGGGTGCTCTTAGCTGTGGTAGGTAGGACAGGGGAAGCTGACAGCTGCTGTGGCAATCTGTCTTGCCTTGCAAGGAGCAGGACAGGAGGAAATCAGGACAGGAAAGGTGTGGGAATAAATCACAGCCTGGTTTGGGGAAATCATAAAATAACAGAACCATTAAGGCTGGAAAAGACCCCTAAGATCACCAACCTCCAGCCCATCCCCACCATGCCCACTGACCATGTCTGCCAGTGCCACATCCACACGGCTCTTCAGCATCTCCAGGGACGGTGACTGCACCACCTCCCTGGGCAGCCTGTGCCACTGCAGCACCGCTCTTTCTGAGAAGATTTTCCTAACATTCAACCTGAAGATAAATATGCAGAGATCATTAGCCTTCACCATCCTTCACCATTACAGCACAGCTAAAGCTGTAGAGGCTGCACAGCTGAATACGAAGAGGATGAAACTGCTTTGTTCACATCACCCACAGCGTGTGCCACGCACACCCCCTCCCACAAGCTCACAACTTCACCTCGCCCCTCTCAGCCCAGAGGGTGGCATGTGCGTGATATCCACCCACATACTTTCTCCACCAGTGTTTTAGCAGTGCCGCTCCTTGACATAAACAAATATCCATCTCTGCCCCCCCCAGCAGGCAGCTTTGCAATGTACTGACCAGCCCTACAGCTGCAGATGTGGCCCTCTGTATTGATGTAACCCTGTGCCTGCAAGCCTAGCCCCCAGGATGCACACATCACCTTTTCCAGCCACACAGAAAAGCACAGCCCCTCTGCACACACCCTCCCTGGATTGCCCTCTGGCACTTCTGTTTGCATACATTGCCACAGCCAACTTTCCTCCTCCCCTCCCGAGCAAATTTGCTGAAAACAACTGACTTCCCCAGCGCATATACATCCTCCCCTCCGCCCCAAGACTCTCTTTTGCCACGCCAGCTAGCGCCAGCCACCCACACACAAACACAGGCAGGCAGACACAGAGTGATGGCAGAGCCCTCCGTGAGCTGCTGGAGCAGAACAGATGGCTTAGCAACCAAAAAAACAGTCACTCACTCCACAAGTTTCCTCCTCGATGTTCTGTTTGTTTTCAGAACACGTTCATTGCCAGAATAAAATCCAGGCAAGGCGAGCTGATATAAACAGCCCAGTCTCAATCCTATGAGGTGTGAAGTCCCACCTGCTTTTTGCACAGATCCCAAATAATTCTTCCTGAGGCATCCCCTTCTTCCCCCACAAATCCCTCTCCTTTGGCATACAGATTAACTTCATGCTCTCTGTGATACTGTGCCTCACAGCTCATCTTCTTCTTTTCCCCCAGAGGGCAAACACTCTCCACACTTTGCAATGGTGATTTCAGGTCTGCATCTGATCCACAGGAGCACATTGTCCGCTGTTTTATGCTGCAGATACCCGCCTGGAAAGCATTTGCTAAACATTTGAGGCAGCTTTGTGGTGCATCTGGCAGCAACTGCCAGATCTGTGGCCATGGACACAGTACCCATCAGATGTCACGTGCTGTT